CGGAAGAGCCCTGCTGGGTCAGACCAGTGAGGGTCCATCTAGGCCAGCATCCTGTCTCACACAGGGGCCAGCCAGTTCCTCTGGAGGGCCAACAACAAGGCAGAGAAGTTGTGGCCTTCCCCTGATGTTTCCTCCTGGCACTGGGATCCAGAGGTTGACTGTCTCTGAACGTGGAGGTTCCCTTTCTTCACCAAGGCTAGTTTCCACTGATACTTATCCTCCATGAATCTAATCCCCCTTTTAAGCGGTTTACTCCTGTGGCCATCACAACATCCTCTGGCAGTGAATTCCACACTTTAATCACTCCCTTCAGTGTTCCCTCTAAGCTGAGTTAGTGTGAGCTGGCTCACACAGTTTTTTAGCCTCCGGCTCTGACATTTCTGTCTTTGCTCAGGAAGGAGGGCTCCAGAGCAAACTGATTCGTGCCGCAGCCAGATCGCTCTGCTCACAGCTTTAATGCCAGTCGCCCACAAAGTAGGATTTTTGCTCACAAGACTCCACAGCTTAGAGGGAGCATTGCTCTCTGTGTAAAGCTGTATTTCCTTGTTTCTCTCCTGAACCTACTGCCCATCAGCTTCATTGGATGCCCTCGAGTTCTGGTATTTTGGAAGAAGGAGAAAAAATTCTCTTGGTCAACTCTCTCCACCCCATGCATAATTTTACAAAGCTCCAGGGGTCATTTCCTGCAGGAGCGCACAGGAGCGGAGCTCCCGCAGTAAAGAGCCCAGGGGGCGGGCACATGCAACAAGCCCCACCCGCTACTCCCAGCAGCCCTCAGTCAGAGCAAGAAGCAGCCAGGTAACTTGCAGAGCCCCTCCCGCCCCCCCAGTCCAAAACAGTCCAATGGCACCTTTAAGACCAGGTTGTATTCAGGTACAAGCTCTCCCTCCTCTGCGAGGACAGATCTGCACGTTCCCCTCCCCCCCAATAGCTAGCAATCCAAAACAGTCCAGTGGAGCCTGAGCGGTGGGTGTTGCCTTCTGACGCGCTTCCGGTGATGTCAGGGGGTGTGGCCTATGCAAATAAGTTATGCTAATCAGTTATGCTAATGAGCTCCTGCACCTCTTTTTCTACGAAATAACCCCTG